TGTTCCTTTCACATGTACAGATAAAAGTTGGATTAACCATTATATACACATGTTGCTTTCACATGTATAAATAATAGTTGGATTACCATTATATACACATGTTCCTTTCACATGTACAAATAATAGTTGGATTAACCATTATATACACATGTTACGAGATGAAACCTTTTTGAATATTTACTAGAACTTGTGGGGGAAAATTGAATGTACACTGATTTCGGATAGGTAGATAAGTCCTTAAAGGGATTCGGTGCTAATACGTAATACAAATATACACTCATTAGAAATATATTTGAAAACTTGTTGCATTGAGTAATACTTTTGTATCCGGCATTTTTTTTTATTGTGAGTACCATGGAGAGATTTGTGTATGACGTTTATCATTGTTACGCGTGTTTTTGAAAGATAGTCATCACCAATTTAAAAATATTTTCATTAATGAACATTTTCTGCAACATATTTTACCGGTGATGAATTTCTCCTGACAATGTAATATTGTTGAAGATGTCGTTTGGCGAAGATTTTGATCGTAGCACGTACTATACACATGCGCACTAATCATGTTTTAAATTATATTGCTTATGAATAAGAATTTTAACAGTTATTTTTACCATATGTCGCAAAAGTAATACATCTGTGCTTTACAAAAAAAATAAAAAAATATTATCAATCCGTGCTTGAATCTTTCGGCTGCAGATTGGCTGGTATACTACTAACTCTTGTGATGGAATGCCATTGCAAACGGCGTTTAATCCTTTCCGTCTCTTTGATAGGTTAAATCCAGATTTTTAGACCGTTTTACAGGTTGACGCCCATTAAGGATTCTCGAACCGCTGTCAAAGACTATAACTGTGTCCTGGAGATCGATTAACAGGCATGACGGAAGAGTTGATTAATCATTTAAAAAAAAAAAAAAAGTTGCGGGACTTTTATGAGAAATATATGGAGATAAGATATACAAAAAAATACTCAACAACAGCGGATTGTTTATAGACACTCAGCGGGACCAGAACAAGATTCGAACCATGGACTTCATATTACTATAATATCGTTCTTAGCGACAGAGCTACCTGATCGACGGAACTGCTATAGTTCTATCAGGTATATTCAACAACATAATCAAAGGCAGGTTACTGTGTAAAAAAACAAAAAGTGGGACTTGGATCCTTAACTTCTTGTTCCACCATTACAGGTATCAATCCTAGTTATGTGAGTAGTTGTATTAGTGCGGATATTCACCAGCGATGAAGTACTGCGATGAAAGCTTATGTTAGAACATAATTTATTGTCACCAAATAAGAGTTCTACTTCTTTAGGAAAACCACATAGATAGTTATTTTGTTGAGTTGAGGTTTAAAAGCAGCGGGATAAAACGGTTTGATTAGCAATCAAATTCATTTTATTTTATTGTATAGGGTTTAACGTTCTATTAACAGCTGAGGTCATTTAAGGACGTAACTCCATATGTATTATGAATGCGTGCGTGGGTGTGTATTAGTGCTAGATACAGGGTATGTTATGTAATTGCCTCCTTATGATAGCGCGGATCTGGAGCCGACTTTATTGTGCTACCTCATTGAAATACCATACCTAAGGCACCCACCACATAATTATGCCCTGTCACATTATACTGACAACGGGTGAACCAGTTGTTGCCATTACCCTAAATGTTGAACGTTTAGCAGGGAATAACAACTACCATTGTATGGACTTTGGTATGTCCCGGCCTGATACCTGTGTAAGTAATTTTACTGATGTTTTACTAGGGACTATGAAACCATTTTTTCTAAGAAAACCGCCCAAAAATAACACTGATAAGCCCCCTGTTAAAGTTGACACCCACACCTTTTCTAGTTCCGAAGATAAGCCCTGGTTTAATGATCGTGTTAGAGCTCTACGTAAACAATATTTAGTTGCTTTAAAGAATTTCAACATTAACAAATGTTACTGGACACACACTCTTCTTATCCGTAAGAAAAAAGAGTACAAAATCCTGGAAAGTAAGTTTAAGAGGCAATATTTGAGCGCAGAAGGTGATATGTTGGAGTATATGAGAAAACATAACCCCGGGTCTTTTTATAAGAAATTTGGTAAGAAGAAAGCTAAAACACCAATGTGTAATGGTAATCAACTGTTCAATCATTTCAAAAACCTGTCTTCTGTACAACAAAATAATGATCCAGTCCATCATGACGATTTTATTCTTACTGATTATGACACTGTTTTTGAGGAATTAGATGCTCCTATTTCGTTACAAGAAGTAAAAAATGCTATTCGGAAATTGAAATGTGGTAAATCACATGGACCTGATGGTTTGTTAAATGAATGTTTAAAAGCTGGCGTGGAATTACTTCTTCCAACTTTATCTACGTTGTTTAATTCTATACTAGAATCTGGTTATTTTCCTTCTAATTGGTCGTCAGCCATAATTATTCCTGTCCATAAGAAAGGTGTTTTAAATGACCCTAATAACTTTAGAGGTATCAGTTTAATTAGTTGTCTTTGTAAACTTTTTACCTCTGTACTAAATAAACGTATTTTAGATGTGTGTACAAAATATGACCTTATTACTGATGCGCAATTCGGATTTCGTCCAGAACTTAGTACGATTGATGCAATTTTCGCATTACATTCTATTATAACGAAAACTTTATCTTCAAAGAAACGTTTGTACTGTTGCTTTGTGGACTTTCGCAAAGCGTTTGATTTTGTTGATAGATTAAGCTTATGGCGTAAGCTGACTAAGCTTGGTATTCGTGGGAAAATGTTATCCGTCATTAAATCATTTTACAAATCAGTTAAATCTTGTGTATCAACTAACGGTAAATGTTCTAATTATTTTGAGTGCAGTGTTGGATTAATGCAAGGGGAAATATTATCGCCTTTATTGTTCTCAGTTTTTGTTAATGATTTTGAAACCTCATTTATTGAAAATGGTGCAACGGACTATGACTTTGGTGAATTAAGTTTGTTTTTGTTAATGTATGCAGATGACTTAGTATTGTTTTCCGAAACTATTGAAGGTTTACAGAGTCTTTTAGATAATCTGAATGTGTATTCTACTAAATGGAAATTAACAGTTAACACTGAGAAAACCAAAGTAGTTGTATTTAGAAACGGTGGTAGTATACGAGATAGAGAAAGATGGATGTATAATGGTTTGGAGGTGGAAGTTGTAGATGTTTTCAGCTACCTAGGAGTAAAACTGAAATTCAATAATAAATTTAATCATATACAGAAACAGTTATCTGACCAAGGAAGAAAGGCCATGTATGCTCTTTTTTCAAGCTCTTCTAACTTGAGCCTAAACTGTACAACGTTATTGCATTTATTTGATACGTATGTTTGTAGTATATTGCATTACGCATGTGAAGTATGGGGATCTACAAAAGGTACGGATATTGAGAGGTTACACCTACACTTTTGTAAGAAGATTTTAAAAGTTAAGAAGTCGACTTGCAACGCAATGGTTTATTTTGAATTAGGTCGACATCCTTTGGAAAATATAAGAAAATTCAGAATGATAAAATATTGGTTAAAACTAATGGATTCGAAAAATTGTATTTTGCAAACTGCGTATTCCTTTTTAAGTAGTAGCAATACAGGCAATTGCTTTAACTGGGTTAAGTATGTCAAACATTGTCTTTTTTCTCTCGGATTCGCAGATGTATGGACAAATTATTATTCATATAACCATAAAAGTATTTTGTACATGATAAAGCAAAGAATATTTGATCAAAGTCAACAATATCTGAGAGGGCTATTAGAAACCTCACCTAAATGTATTTTATATAAGCACTTAGCAAATCACCATACTCTTCAATACTATTTGACAAAGTATATTCCAATGAAATACCGGATCTGTTTATCTAAACTTCGTCTTTCTGCACATAATTTAGCTATTGAGACTGGTAGATACAATAACATAACGAGAGAACAAAGACACTGTATGAGCTGCATTTCAGATATTGAAGACGAATATCATTTTATTTTAATATGTAACAATTTTCATATTCTGAGAGTAAAATACATAAAACCATATTACTGGCGAAATCCTTCAATGTTTAAACTTGTACAGTTACTAAGTGCTGATAATATCAGCGTTATTCGTAAACTTGCTAGATACATTTTTGAGGCAAATAAGGCACGAGTGACGTAAACATGCACATCAATATAATTTATATAAATGTCTATTTATGTATTATTGACATTTGTATCGTTACGGATTACATGTTGTTGTAGTTAATGTCAGATGTTAATGATGCTGNATATTGTATGTTGTCTCTGTATTGTTTTGTATATATGTTATGACTGATAAGTCAACCGACTTAAAGTAATAAAGAACTTGAGGACAGAACCAATTGCGTTCCGCGCCTGTACTAACAATAAAAACAACAAAGCTAAGGTATTGCCAAACAAGGCCCCTATTGTATAAAAGAAAGTAAGAAGTAGGGAGAAATATAAAGATCTCAAATATTTCAATGAGTGCAGCAGATTTCTTTTGTCGCTTTTGTGTCCCCAAGTAGAATGCACAAACACAAATTCCCGATTATGATGCTCCCACGTTAGACGCCTCTAACGATCATGCAGTGGGTAACAGCAGGTGTTATCTTTTCTCGTTCACGGACCTGCAATATAAACGGGGAGTTAGTATCATAAACTGATCTCAACACTCGTGACGAGAACTAAATACGGCAATGTCGGCGTGCTGATAGGGAAGTAGGTTACTGATAACGGGAGATACACGACGATTACGAAATGAGAGTTGTTCATATCAGATTACGAACTGTGCATTTAAATTCGGAAAATGTTTGCTTTTAAAGCAGACTTTGCTAGAAAAGCAGAGATATGTAATACTAATACGTTATCGACAATGTGATGTGTTATTTACAAAAACCTGATAATACAGATGATTAGGTAAAATGACAATATAAACACGATACCATAGCTGATGACATCATCAACATTCGCTTCCTAGTAGATAATTCACTATTGTGTTCAGGGTATGCATGAACCCAGGTAAACTCGCAGTGATAATAGACATGTATATATATGCATACCTTTATGACAACCTGGCCAGTCATTGAATGGGGATCATAATGTAGATATACATGTGACTAATGTATACTCCGTCGAGGGTGTGTAAATAACAAACGTCGAGGATGGCAAACTATTTGCCTGTGTTTACAGTGTTACTTTTGAGTTTATGTGAACTACAGGCAAAGTCATGTGACAAAAAGACGTCCTGTTCGTGTAAGTCTAGTGATGGGGTATTGGATCTCAAGCCAGGAGCAATAAAAGGAACAAAGTAAGGATATAAGTATATCATGTTATTGTTTCGTATTTCAGATCAGTTTGTTTTACCCGCCTTCATTCGTTGTATCATTAAGAGGAGGCGCATTAGCGCTAAGGGATAGTAGCGGATCAACCCATTAACCACCGACGACATATTTGAACTCTTCCAATTCAAAGGTTTGAATAATTCATTATGGAACTTCAGGGGTGAATGAGTTTACGTTAAGAGGAAGTGAAATGACGTTAAGAAGTAGAAGTAGCGAATTAAGGTTAAGAGTTGTAAATTGCCGCTGAGAGGTTGAGAGGTAGACAGTTTATGTTAAGAGATAGCGCATGAACATTAAGACATAGCGAATTATGTAGCGGTAGAAAATTATCGTTAAAATGTAACGTATTAAAGTTAAGAGGTAGCGAAGTACCGTTCAGAGTAGAAACATGCGCGTTAACTTAAATGTACCAAATTTACTTTAAGAGGTAGTCGAAGTATTGTTCGACCAGGGAAGACTCTTCCTATCTTAAAAAGGGCAAACTGGGCCCTTACTACGGACAAAGAGTACAGTCTCAATCATACAGAGTATCGCAGAAGGATAGCACTCCACGCTTGCTGTACATTTATATTAGTTGTTTTCACAGTTATCTTGGACTTTGTATGCATTGTATTAATAACCAGAAAGGATGGTACCAATAATTGTATAATATGTATCATGGTTTAAACTATTTATCAAAACAAAATAACTATAGAACCTCAGAAATGAAGGTACACCTTTGATATCAGGTGCTCTGTGAACCGGAATTAGATCAGTATATATAAATATCAGTGCTTTTTGAGGATGAACGTAGGATATACAAAGATGATTTCATCTATAACATTTCGTATGACTTATGACTATACTGTCACCCTATTGTTGATTATCAGATCGTACGACATTTATCGTTATATCTTATCCACATGTGTATGTGAAATATGTATATAGCTGATTAACATCTCCACACACAAGTCTGATACAATTGCATTTATGATATTAAAAAGTTTTTATCCCGAAAAATACACAAGAAATCGTCCCAGAGAAAAACAGCAAACAGAAACATTATTCCAAATTAATTTCGTCGAATACAGCTAGATAGCTTCAATGGGATTGTATTATAAAGAAGTTAATCTATTGACATATGTTTTCTCTTTGTGACTGATGCTTATCAGGAACGAAGAGAATGTAAGAGGTTTTCTGGCAAATCAAGGAAAGTTTTGATATGTTTTAATCATGACCGGCAATAGAAACCTTTCGTTTGCAGTAAGGTCCTGATGAGGCCGTGTAGAGTTTTTCACTACAGATGGAAGCTTCGTGGTAAAAAAATCCCTTTTAGGCAGTAATTTATTGTTAAATGTCACATATTCTTTTTCTACAAACCTTAATATTTAGGACCTTACAGTTCTAATAAGAAGAACGACATCATGGTTCAATATAAGCGTTCGATTTGAAGAAACAAAAGTTCGTGGAATGAGTATAGATCTGTATAGATGTTTCAGCAAAGACGTAATAGCGACAGTTTGGACAATGTAATTTATTTAGGACAATTCTTCTTTTAACTGCATATCAGAAAATTATAACACAGCGAAAAACAGTAGCTATTGAATATATAAAGAAAAAATCGTTGTTTAGATCCGGCATCGTAAGATTGTGAACTAAAACATGTCAACAAAAAACAGTAGAGAATTCTACAAACTAGTTGTTATCCACGATCAAACTGAAATATGAAGAAGCTTTGAGATCTATTTTAGAAAACTGACAAGGCAAAAACAAACAAACAAAACAAAAATCTTGAGACGAAAGACATTTTTAAGAGATCAGACACAAATTATTCCAAGCGCCGAAAGTCGAACACGCACCTGTTGGTATGTTCTAGATCTCATCGCATTATTTATATTTTTTTACAGGAAGTAAACTCATCAAAAAGATGTCTCATCGACTGGTTTACTTATCGTTTGTAATTTAATTAAAAGTTGAACTTTTGACGTGAAACATAAATATGCTGTGCCATTTCCATCTAATCAGTTTTCTATATTATCTTTGTAGATTCCAAGACGTTGCATCATCAGACGGAAGTCTCTACTCCTATAATCCATGTTACAGCTTTGACGAAACAGACCCAAGTTTGCCGCCACAGTTTGACAACTGTAAATCCGTAGCGGTACGTGCATTCCTGCTTCCTTCAACTACATGATCATACTGATCGACTAATCTGTGTCACTAAATAGTTGATTTAATTTAATTTCAATTCAATTCTCCTTTGGGTATAACTTTACAATTAGGAATAGGTCATACTATATTAGGACTTTATCATCAAATAATTAATCACAGTAAAATGTGAATCAACGATGATGAAAAAAATAAAAAATGAAAAAATGAAAAAAATCTCTATTACCTTGAGTCTTTCGACCCATAGGTTTCAAATATGAAATATTTACAATATTTGCAAACAATATAATACACTAACAACGCTGTACAAACAGTACGGAGAATGTAATTAATTTTTGTAATTGGTTTCTTCTTACATTCAAACAAACATTAGAACTTTCGACAACAAAATAAATCTAATATTTCAGACATACCAGTATGTAATGAATTTCGACTCATATAATACTGATAAGAGGGGTTGAATGATTGTAAATCTCGATTATTAATCCAGGCGTGTCAGCTTGTTCCCGCTGGGGTTGGAGGTACACCTCAACTGTACGACATAGGCACTCAGGCCAGCGCATCGTTCAGCTACAAGGATGGAGCGTCCATAGACCAGCCAAAACTCGGAGAGGTCCTCACAGTTACCTACCTGGCAGCGGACAACGCGAGGTAGGTAGATCAGCATAGGAGTAGCCCGAGTTTCCTCTGGCCCTAACACCAGACTTAGAAATTTGACATTTAAGAACGTCTGGTGTGGGGCCGGAGCGCACTTCTATATGAAAACATGGAATTTGGTATCGGGGAGTGTCTAATCAACAAAAAATACGCGGTCCGGAAATCGTTTAAACAAGAATGTACTGCGTTATTAATATACTTTGATATATTTACTTAGGTCGACGACTGTTATTCTCCAATGTGACCCAACAGAAGACTTCCTTCCTGTTGGCGAAATACAGAGTTCCACCCCACCAGTATACGTAAGTTCATTTCGGAAAAACAAGTAAACAGCAATTATGAAACAATGCATTTTAGATGATATTAATCGCTTTCGTTGGTCACGAGGGGGTCCAATGTGTGAGGAAACCGGAGTACCAGGAGAAAACCAACGTGGTCGACCAGGTATTTTTTCACGTCCGATCGGGGAATCGAACCCCGGCCTCCTTGGTGAAATGTCTGGTTTTATTTTGTTTAAGGTGGCTCCACACTTTCGCAACTAACCAGCAAAATTCGTTGAAACTTTCATATAATGGTTATGCAACTATGTAGAGTTAATTTTATGAAAATCTAAACATTCCGATGGTTTGGGGACTATTTTTGGAAAAAAATATTTTCCGTTTTTTTTGTGTGTGGCATTGTTCGGAACAATAACAACAATAAAAAAATGAAAAGAAACATTTATAATTAACCCTACAAATATTATTTATCGCAAAATATGTAACACATGTTACACAAAGTTTTTTTTTTTTTTGAATTTGAACGGATAAAAGTGATTATCTACAAGCTAAAAGCAAACAGGACACAAAGATCTATACATATAGAGTGGGAAATTGAACAAAATATACACAATGGCTTTATAATTAATTTATTTTACATTTTACAATCACTTTGATCCGGGTGAGAGTTATCTTCCTTGAAAAAAACCGGAACTTTTTGCAGAGGGATGACATTTACACAATCACAGTTGTCTCTGTTTACATATAACAAATGATGGAAATAAATCAAAAATATGATATCAAAATTATCAATTTATTGTTCTTTAATGGAACCAAATTACCATTTTGTACTATTGTTTACCAGGGGCCTGTTCGTTTATGTGGAACATCCGGTTTGACCGTTAATAAATGTAACAATTTCGGGTATAAATCCTGGCGGACCTGCAAATGTGTATGCAAGACTTGCAAGGCTTTCTCAAGGCTCGCCGGAAAGCAGCATCAGATAACTAGGTCCTACCTTATTTAATAAACGAACAACAGTTTGACAGTTTGACAGTTTAAACGCAAACGGCCCAGGTGTTACTATAATTTGCACTACGATATTGAATGCCCGATACGCAAGACGGAAATGACGACACGGTGTACATGCACATTTCGATCAAGATAATTGAGTCCGAGCTGTACTTTTTCCGGAAGTACGTCACGAAAATGGACGCTGATGACGATGTGTGGAGCCACCTTAACGTCCTACAGTGTATCAAAAGCTATGGTAATTTCAGGACGTTGTCTTGTTGAAAGGCAAGGGCATTATCCACTGCATCATCCAAAGTTCATATCTAATATAGCAGTATACTGTAAGAAGAAAATGCAGTTACCCAGCATTAATAACTGTACAGGAAACAAGAGACAGCATAGCTCTTAATGATGAAACAGAGGTCATTATTTTTGCAATGCCTCCGCTAAGAGTCGAACCCGGGACCTCTGGCTTTCTAGTCTTACGCTCTACCGAATGAACTAAAGAGAAATTCTCCCAAGCCGAGTCGATATGAAGCGACTAGTATTTTACCAGGGTGACAATAAGAAAATTTAGTGATGTAACAATCGACAATGTCCATTGTATATTGTTCACGCTGAACCGTGCTAACTGGTTTGTCTATTAAGTGTGAAAATAGGATAAAATCTCATTGCGCACATTTAAAAAAAAAATCAGCATTATCTTTTATTATAGAGTCACGTGTTTCACTGGTTAAAAGGTAATAGATTGTACTCTTGTACATTTTTTTCAGGTTTTTGTATATTCCTCCCCTAATGCCTGTTTCAAGCCTTCAGGATTAAGCGCAGGAAGTGTTTTACTAATAATGTAAGTAATGTAGCATTGTGTTTTAGAATTGACAGAAATTACTTTAAGGTGCACCTGTATGATAATATACATGCTACTGACGGGAGAATTTCCAATGCATCTTCTTTCAAATAATGATTTAGCATGGTAACCTGTGGATTTTACTTATTTTCATTCAGTATATATGTGATTTTTATGGATTTTCTCGTTAAAGATCCTTGTACTACTGATGTAACAATGCATTTGAAGGGGGTTTTCCGGCATTAAGTTTTGATAAATAATCTCTAAAAAGGAAACCCACCTTTAGACATTTTATGAAAACAATAAAGAAGGAATAAAAAGATAAACAATGATGTTTTGACTATGAGAATAGAGCGGAGTCAGACCATGATTCGAACTCTATTCCTTCGATCACCAAACTATACAACGGAAAATGTGTTTTTTTAGATAAAATACGATCGTTATGTGAGAAACAGGTCCCCAAACTCGTGATGATAAGTTATCACGTTTATCTAGCTCTCGTTAGTTGTTTTTTTAATTGTAAAAGATAATCGGTAAATCTCGTGTCTGTATACAAATTGAAGATTAACTAACTCGAGTTAGCTTTTTTTTCTATCCCTGTTCAATTATATGTATGCAATGAACATGTTTGAATATTGATTGAATACTATTTAAACTGATTTGTTGTTATCTTTTTAAATTTCAGATTTATATGTTTAATTGCCGTGTACCTGATAGGAGGGGTATTATTTAACAAACTAAAAAGGGGAAATAGTGGTAAGGATCTAATACCACAGCGTCAACTCTGGGTCTCCCTCCCGGGTATGATCAAGGTCAGTCATTTAAACGTATTCGTACGGTTGTTGAAATGATTTTTACCTTTAACACCTATAAGAAAATTGTTCATCCAGTATATATCAGCATTTTACTACAGAGAGATATCACGAGACTAATTAACAAAATGGAAGGAGATTTCGAGAATGTTCGATTCGTGCCAGTTATTCCCGGCATACTTATATCGAATTTTATTGATTATTTTTTGTTTCACATTAATAGATATATAAATATATAAATACTCTATTTACATATTTTTTTTATTTATTTTTTTATTAATTTTATCATTTTTTTTTACATGAACTGTCTACTAGAAAAACGTCGTTGAACTATAATTAAGCATAAAACAGTATATGAACAATTTTCTGTGTGTTTACTTTTGTTTTAAGAAGCCCGGTATTCAATCAACGTATTTACCTCGTATTCGTTACTTGGTTTAATTCTATAACAACCTATTTTCATTGTTTTGTAACTTTATACAGCTGAATACTCAGGTGTTTGAAAGTTAAATTTTATCATTTCTCCTGGTCGCAATGCTTTCAAAATATACATTTTGTTTTGATATGTAACTGTAGTCTGCATCTGCTTATATTTTATGTTTACTTAAATAAATATATATCATCAATTTAAAAATGAGAACATAGTTACTTGAAACAATGTACTGATGCATTAAATGAATAATCCCCATATTCGACCAGAAATGGTTTAATGCTGCAACTTAAGTGCATGAAATTGTAACACATTTGAATCGTCTGGTTTCACATCTGGGAGATTATGAGAGGTCACAACGTCTTTTTTTTATTTCGATGTCGCCTCAGTTTCTGCTTCTGTGTTTTCCAATTGTCTTAGAGTTAGGATATTTGCCCTTTTGTATTGGTGCTTTGGAATTTATCTTAGCTAACAAATCAAAATATCCTTATTGTACAAGAGAGTATAGCACGTTGTTCTCAGATGGTCATTATTAAATTGTATTTTCTCGCATTTTCTGCAGGATGGCGTTTTCTTCGTGGTGAAGAGAGGACAATATCACCCAATCAAATGATGCTGTGTAAACATGTTATTTCTATATCAACGATTCCAAGAAAGTGTGCAACTGAGAGGGAAAATAGCTACAGGAAAAGGATCAATTTAAAGGAGGAAGTAATTGTTCTTCTTATAAGGGAGATAACTCGTGCATGACTATTTTCTGTATTACTTCCCTTAGACCAAAAACGAACATTTCAATATCTGTTAAATATTTAATTACACATTTTTTTCTTTTTTCTTTTTTTTAAATTTATTTTAAGTTTTTGATTTGGAATGACAAAAGAGTAAGATACAATGGGTGACACACGTTTGAAATGTGGCATTCTATTAAACCATGCTTAAAGTTTTGCACATTTAAGTGATAAAGTTGTCAAAATCGTTCATGCCCAGGGGCGTAGGAAACCCGGGGCCTGCCAGGAATTTTTCACCAATTTTGAAATCTCGAGGGTGAAATTTCACTATCTTACACTCTTGTTCCGGAAAGATAATTTTTTCTCTCATTCCAAATTCCAGATTAACTCAGAAACAAAAAAGCGCGACGCAATTTCCGCATCACGATATTGGTTTGTTCCAATTCATTTTGGTGACGTCACGTCATTGTTGTCCCCTTGTGACGTCAAGCAAGTGAACTGGGTTGTACGACAACATGACATACCACCTTTCTTAAACTGGTCAGTTCTGTCACATACGTAAAGGAAAGAACGAAAGCAACGTCCTGATCTTTTCTATCGATATGCTGTATAGTTTAACGTTTAATGAATTGCCACGTTAGCACACCAGCAATCTCATGCAAAACAGAATTTCTATTTTTGTGTGTGAATAACATGTTTAAATCAATGGCAATACACTTAAATTTTACAATTATTCGTAAAAAGCAGATAGATTCTGTCCAAGATAAGAACTTTTAATTTAAAATAAAAAATTGAAAACCTGTACCTCAATTTTTTTTTTCAAATATTTTGTTTAGATAGCAATGTATATAAGTCAAACCCGGGCTTGGCCTACGGAATATTGTGTTTGACAGTGTTTTACCCTGGTGAGATGGTGAGCGCGGGTTCGAATCTCGTCTTTCAAGGCAACTTGTACACTTACCGCACCTTTGAACAGAGTTTTAAGATGATTTCATTGTAGATTGTGTTCATTTCAGGACAGTTCTTGATAAAATAATAGCTTTTCCGCCACTCAGTTTGTGTCTGTGTCCAGGAATAAAACAAATAAAGATTATCAGAAAGTCGTTAACATAATAAAAATACTGACAAAATATTAAAAAAAAAAAATATGTATAAGAATTAAAGGTAAATCAGAACAAATATTTGGACAAAAGCCGTTATTCCGGTTATTCAGAAATTATCATTAAAACGGTGGCCGTTATATAAGCCCCTTAACTAGCCTCCCCCTCCCCCCTCCCCCAAAAAACAAATAAATAAAATAACAACAACAAACTACCCCACAGTCGTTAACGATACAAACATAAGTCAATGTACCGTTTGTAATGCCATGATACACTTATAAACCATATTTGTGCGAAATCGCAAAATATCTTAATTTGGACCAATCATAGGCTCCGGCGGCCATCTTGGATTGGCAGAATTAAAAAGGCTTGCACTGGTACGTCCTTTAATGACTATACCTGTAAATAGGATGCACAAAAAAACACCAAACCATATGTAAAAAATCAATTGAATTTATACAATTGACAAGTGTTTGAGATCACGTGACTTTAAATTTTAATACATTATCAGCCTGTTTTTCAAATAATCAAAGCGAGACCGATCTACCGTCGTTACTAGTATGTACTAGGTGGGTCATTGAAAACTTTGCCAAACGAAATCACTCAGATGTATACAAATCTTGCCGTAATTCTTTTGTTCAAAACTTTAGTTATCTATTTGTATTTTGGTGGTTAAATAACTTTCTCCCACAACCATTTTAGGTTTCCTTATCCACTACTCCTTAAATAAACCTGATAGGAGTTGGTAAACAATTTTGGTTACCATACACCCTGGACATTATTTCATTAGTCAATCTTCTAATTTTGACGTCAAGTAGCAATTCTTTGCGCCGTCATCTTCCATTGGGACGCCATAGTTTATTACGATCGTTTCTCTAATTGGAAACACGAATACTGTATTCGATAGAGAAACATATATGAACGTTGTGGGAGAAAAAGGTCCCAACAATGATAGTTGGTGATCATGTTGATCTAACTCTCGTTCGTTAATTTTCAAATCGAAAAAGACACCCAGTAAATCTCGTTTGTTTATATAATTTGAAAATTCACTTACTCGAGTAAAAATAAACATGATAACCAACCATCAGTCGTTGGGGAGTGTGTATATATCAGCAAACAGACATAGACTCCATAACGTCTGAAGTCTGATATATCACTAGGACGTCCATCCATATTTGAATACGTATTATATTATTGAAGCATTCACTTAACTAATTGGGTTCAATGGAACGTCGCTATGCAATATGAAAAACTAAAAAAAAAATCTTCATTTCTCAAATTAAGGAGTATACAATTGTATCTATGGGACGAGTAAGTAATTCCAATAGTCAAGAAAATATAAGGTTGTTAAAGTTTCGGGGAGCAATCTGTTACTTTATAGAGAGAGATAAAAAAAACCCACATAAAACACTTACATTGCAAAAGTACGAAAACAGACCAATCATAGGATATAACTAACATTTAAAAAACCAAGGCAGAATTTACACTGACCGCATCGTTGACCAATGATACTCTCTGTGCACAGTGTGATCAACGACAAACGGGAAACCTGAAGCGTGAAGAAGGATACTGAAGCTGGGAGAAACTGACATCAGTATTAATAACAATGATTTGTACAGTGATGATGGGTTAAAAAAAAAACTATTTGAAAAAAATGTTGTTTTATTATCAAAAATTGTAGATATAATATCATCAACAAGACATGTATTTAGGTATAACACTTTTGGACACGAAAGTCGATCTCAAGGTGATAAATCGAGTAAATGCTTGTTATTTTGGATGCAATTAATACACAATGTATTCTTTGTTAATTGGACTCATTTGGGACCACGTTATCTGTCCAGTATACAGCGACTTCAACATTGGAAAGAGTCTACTTGTATACACCATATTGTTAGGAACAAAACAATTTTGGCCAATTTAAAAAAAAAATGGGAACTTGTCCGGTTTAGATAGATTGAAGTGTTTAGAAAACAAACGAGCAAGTAAATAAATAAGAAATCCCAGTGGGCTTCACATAAATGCGAACTTAATAACAGTTTCCTTTGTTTCTGGCATAATTCTAGGGAAACGCTTCTTACCATCTTTGAAATGACACAATTAATTAATACATTATGTATTGTCTGAATACTAATCATCAAAAATTAATGCGTCATTAAATACACAGCAGTTACATAAACCCTTAAATAGAGAAATAAAATATTGACCAATTACGTATTACTCAAAACATAAGTACATAAATAGAATGGTAATGTCTCACCCGGTGGTAAAGAATTTGGGGTACAACCGAGGTTTGTTGATGTTTTTAAACTCAAATTATGTACCCAAGGGCCAAACATTTAAATCCTACATATGATAGTTATTTCTCTACATCACGAACTGATTTGACCTAGAAGTGTATCCGCCATCTTGAGGCAAGATACCAACTTCTTTAGAAGTGAACCGATGTTTTAGCTATACCGTTGAAAGAAGGCATCAAAGTGTGGTTTACACTGAAAGTATAAATAAAATTTCAATTACAATATATAAATAATACCGAAATATAATTGAAGACGTAGTCTTGACATAATACCGATCTAACCAGAGTAAAAGTAAAAATAATAATCAAAGATCTATCTACATAATAATGTTATAAATGATAAACAAATCATATCATTTAACAAATAGCCAAATATTGATATCAATTACACATTTGGCGACAAGATTCCACGTCGCTATTTACACAATGTCCAATAATGTAACGAAATATAATGCGAAATTTGCGAATCTTAATGTTGTTTAAAAATGTGTAATTTAAAATGAATGTCTCCTACAAACAAAAGAAATTGATGAATACATAGCTTGTTCTTTTGCTATAAGTAATAGGTAGCTTGTTGGGATAATTTCCTATTCGTTTGAACATTAATAAAAAAAAAAAAAAACGCAAAAGAAAAAAACATCTCTGTTTGCTTCTCTGACACTCATTGTTCAAATCTTGAACAGGTTTTTTTGTGCTTTACGTCCTATTAACAGCTGTGGTCATTTAAGGACGAGCCAGGTTTTGGTAGTGCAGGAAGAACGGAGTACCTGCACAAAAAGCACCGACCTGCGGTTGGTTCCTAGCGACTGCCCCATGTACTCCACATGTCCAGCTGTCTTTCTTCAAGGGACGTAATAATGGCCTGAGCCGATGTGAAAAATGTGGAGACAATACTGAAGTCGGTTGCTTGATTAAAATATGCTTCTTTGCACAAAATGTATTATTTACGTGCAAATGACAAGATGCTTCAGCATTCATGAAAGACCCGTCCCCATCTTTTATTAAATACCAGGTCTGTGATGGGTTTTTTTTGGTGTTTTTTTTTCGTTGTTGTTGAGAAATTGACCTTATCAATTAGCATCCACTTGCACTGAAAAGGACACGTTTTGAAATATATAAAAGAACAAATGATTGGAACACTACGCTGATACAATATTGAGATGTGCTATATACAAAATACATGCCATCACTTACATTGTAAAAATGAATTGAAAAACACTTTAGCGCAACACAAACAAACCCAACTCGACAAAACACCACACAAACGGACTCATCCACATAAGGAACAGAAGACATAACAAACAGAACGAAATGAGAAACGTCACGAAACTTTGGTACAAAAGGGGACCAAATGATATATTCTATGGCAACTAAGTTATTTATAGAACAAAAGTCAAAAGAAAACAAAAGCAATGATACCATTATCCCTAATGTGCTGCATCAGACATTTCCAATGTACATGTGTAGCCTTGAGTCAACACCTCACACGAGATGTGTCAAATTAATATTGATCAGAAACGTCATCGATCAAAGTCAATTATTCATCATACTGAGTGTGTCACTCGGCTTCATGGACTGATTCAGATAGAAAATAAATTACAGAATACACATTTCTTTACAATACAAGAATAGTACAATTAATCAAGTACCGATATTTTACGAGTACTGGTACCCTGCCAACATGAGCGCGGTTATTTTTATTCCTTTACCAGCTGATGAAGTCACTTTAAACTCGGACCAAAGTTAAATAGACTATAAAAGGGGTCACTACATACTGCAGAATGTATATTATTGGCCCTCACTTAATTTCGCGCACACAGACTTTTTGAACTCTTTACAAGATCTTTAATTCGCGTTTCACTGAACAGGTATGTGTTATATGTACCAGTAATTGTTGCCATCAAATCCTATCGTGAATTTACCCAAATCAATGCAAAAACATGGACTCGCGATATATGACTTATTATATGTGTGTATTTTGAAAATTAATCAGATATATAAATACCTTTACAGATCAATTTTGAGCACAGAAAAGGGAAAATTGTATATCGCGTCAATAACCTTGCAACATTCATGCGAGAACAAATGTTATTTACCAGCGGTGATATATAACGCTATTAAATGTTTGTATTGAATACCAAACGTTGTTTGATAAGTCGACTTTTCCTTTTATTTCAGATTTCTGGGTTGCGGTGTTTCTACTTGTCTCGAGTTTTATTTTTTACCATTTTTTGGTTTCTTTTTTAAATATATTTTTTCTCGATTTCACCATGTTTCTTATTGGCCCGCCGGCGGAAGGCTGACCGGGGGTCAGTCTATTTACAACTGATGTCCTCGTCCTGGCTGGTTTTCCTGCACACACATTGACACTCTCATGATCACAATGTGTAGATATACGTCAACATTTTCTCTCCAAAACCCATGCAGTAGCATGTTACAATACCGAATAGACTATTATGCATACACACATTATTAATTATCTACTGTGTGTTTACTAGCGACGAACTTTAAATATGACGATTCACAAAATTAGAAACATTTTATTGAATTCGGCTCAATACCATGTGTATAGCGTAGTGCATGTCTGTATATTTACCTGTGTTTTCTATATTAAGTATCGTATTATTGAATAAACGATTATATCTTCACGATAATAACA